CTGAACTAGTGGGGAGGTGTCCCTGCCAGATTCTGACAGATACTTTGATCTGTGATTGCCTTTACTCATTTTCATTTCTTCTCTTGTGCAGGGTGACTTGGCTGATTCTTTCTTCATTGTGGAATCTGGAGAAGTAAGGATTATAATGACAAGGAAGGTAAACATCTCTGAAACACAGAAATGTTTTAATTTTATTTCTTTTAAATAATCTTGATGTATTCTAAGTGTTAAATGGTGATGCTACCATTGTCACTAATTTTGCTTATGCAGTTCTGAGTTCAGCAATTCCCTCTCTCATACTTTTTCTTTCTCTTTCTTTTTTTTTTACGATATTTCAGGGTAAACAAGACCTAGAAGAGAATGGAGCAGTTGAAATAGCTCGATGCTCAAGAGGACAGTATTTTGGAGAACTTGCTCTTGTAACTAACAAACCACGAGCTGCTTCTGCATTTGCTCTGGGCACTGTCAAATGTTTAGGTATTGTTCAATAATATTTTATATCCAATATAAAATGATACCTAATCTATTTGATTTGTTTTGTTGTGGTTCTGTCCTTTTCCAGAACGTAAGATTTAATTATATTTACCCAAGTAAGGCTGTTTAAGTATTCCTATTTATGCTGTTTATTTGCAAACAATATTTGCAGTTGATAACTGCTATTAAACACGAATTCTCCAACATTTATCTGATCCTGTGGAAGAAAAAGTTGTTCCAGGACAGTACAGAGTATAGCTGCAACCCATTTATAACTATCAGATAAGTGTCTCATACTCTGCAGAAGGGTGAAGTATTTCATTTCTCAGTAGACTGACTCTCATCTAAGAAATAACTGTTAAAAATCCTGTCCCATTTTGTCACCATGACTTAAGCTTTTAGCAAATTCCTTGTCTCCACCAGCTGTTAATTGAATTATTCTATCACACTATAGTCTCAGGCACTTTTTCTGTGAAGACCCTGGGAGCTGAGCTCATAGACCACCCATTGCTTTTCATGGGCTGATGTTTTGCTCCTAATTATTGGTTTGTAATTATGGGGAAAACTGTAAATTGCAAAGACAAATTTGGCATTCTTGAATAACAGTTTGATTACCAAGCCAGAAACCAAAAATTTTCTCTAGTTTTTAAAAATCCCTGACTTCCAACACACAGAGATATCAGGCAATAAGGATACAAAATGATAGACAGGAAAGAATAAGAGGCTGTGGTGAGGAAAAGTGTCATTACCCAGTATGGGTGAATAAGCAAGGTCTGTGGCATTTACCAAATAGCAGAGATCCTGAACATTTCTCAGGAGACAAGAGATTACAGCCCAGCAGGTTGGAAGGATGAAGTTTCCTCTCTGGCCTTTTGGCTGGAGCTATAGAGGATAACATTATGTGATCAGGTAAAGAAAATAGTCTGATCAGCTGTGCACTGACATTGAGTGTGAATTACTGACCAGCTGCATCAGTTAAAGATGTGGCTCTTTGAAATCTTAAGAGTTTATTTTGTGGAGGAGTCCAGGCCCCTTCAGACTTCTTCCCCAGCTCCTGGGTAACATAAGTATTGATATGAAAATAGTTTCAAAATCAAAAGCACAGAAAATTCAGGTTTCAAGACAGCAATGTGTTGGTTGATCTTGGTTTTGCTAAGGTAAGTGGTTCTGTTCTGTGCAAACAATATCTGTGGCTCAATAGTCTCTGTTCTGTTGTCATTTAAAATTGTACATTGGAACGTCACAAACACGACGATTAGTGTCTGTAACTGACGAGCACATCATATTCTTTCTCTTTCTCTCCTTTTATCTTAGTTATGGATGTGCAGGCATTTGAAAGGCTTTTGGGACCTTGTATGGAAATTCTGAAAAGAAACATTGCAAACTATGAAGAGCAGCTAGTTGCTCTGTTTGGAACAAACATGGACATTGCCGATACCAGTGCATGAACTAAACGTTGGAGCAACAAGATCTGTTATGAGAATATAGCACAGTAGTGGTTAGTCCACTGAGAAATTGTCTCTCTTCCTATAGATGCCAAGCATTTTCTGTGATTTTAAGAGTGGGGTTGGGTTTTTTTTGGTTTAATTTCATTTTGGTTGGAATTTTTTTTTTTTTTGGTTTGGTTTTGTTTGGTTTGGGTTTTTGGTTTTTTTACTTATTACAGTGGACATACTAGTAAAAAAATAGAAACTCAATAAATTGTGGGCTTGGTTTTCAGAAGTGCTTAGAAGTGATGGTTCCATCTGGCATGAAGAGGACCTGTAGTAGGACAGCATCTTTGAAAATCAAGTCCTTAAACACAGCATTTCCTTAAAGAATAGATTTTGAATCAAACAAACACATGCAATGTACTTGTTAAACAAGCTTCTGTTCTTCAAAGAGGTTACAACTTCTCTGGAAAGACTGTTAGTTTGAATGTGATATGTTGAAAGTATTAGTGCACACAAAAGTGTTTATATGTATTAATACAGAAGATATACAGTAGATATTACTTTGACTATTACAGTTGTCATGATTTTATGTTGCATTTATCACAGGTGTAGTGACTCACGAGATTAATCGTAAGATAAAGCATGACAATGCGTTTCGTGTAACGCTCATGACCCAGATCTGATGATTTTTAACATTTTGTAACTTGTTTTAAAGTCCTCTCTGTTTGATATGTCATGTTTCAGCACGACATTGTAATATCTTATGCAATTTAGAGGACTTGTATATTTTTGCAATAAACTGCATTTTTTTTTATTAGTTCCATGTATTCTGTACATGAGTGAGGACAGCTGACAAATTAACCTTGATGCTTTAAAAGCAAAGGCAGAGGTCATTGTCATGTTCTACCTAACCATACATAACCTCTGTTGTTTTCCTTCTCCCTCGTTTTATATTTATGCATTTTGTCTTCTCTATCTAGGCTTGTTCTCTAGTCAATTTTTTTTAGGTCTCACCTTTTTCATTGTTAAATCTTTTACCTGTTTCAAATGAAATGATCTCTGTATATCTCTCTTCTTGCAGTCTAATCTCAGCTGTGAAAGATCAGAGTCAATTACTGAAGTGATTGATGTTGAAAGCCATGCTAAACTAAGCTTGTCCTTGAAAATTCCTTATCAGGAAGTGCAAAAATATTTTTAATTTGGAAGATCAATCCTTCAAAAGCTTTGCACACATCTGTCATTGTTAAAGCTAACATGTCTTGCTTTCAAGAACCTGTAGGTCACCACACAACAATGTCTTCTAGCCATAATAGCATGGGTTACCTTCTGAGACTGAGGAGAGAGAATATCATGTTAATAGGAGCACAGAGCTCATTTGCTTACAAGGGTCTGTGGCTGGAAATTTCAGGCACAGACCAGTTCTAATCCTGCTTACTGACCTGTCTGTGGATGTCCATGGAAAGCTGGTGCACATAATGGAGTGAGCAGTGGTTCTGCCACAATGACACTACAAGAGGTGTGGGAAGGCTCTTTGTGCCCTGTTTCAAACACCTGAACTATAAACATCTTTCCTTCTTAGATAATGACTTTTCTAAGGCCAAATACTTGTGTATGTTGGTGTAATCATTATCCTGCAGTTAATGATCTGTTCTGACCATTTATATAATCATACTTGTACATGAAATTATGATTATATAATATGATTACACTGTATAATTTATATCATACAGGATGGTATAAATTATAAAGCAAATTCCTAACAAAATGCAATCTAAGCAAAATTTACAAGTGTAATTTTTTTCTTACCTAGAAGCCTGGTATGAATAATTGCACATATGATAACTTGCCTTTGTACTTTTGATTTATGGGGGAAAAAAGAGAAGCCTGTTATACTAGAAGGAAATATCAGGTAACCAAAACCTACACTCTTGTCATTCTGTATGCTTAATCTCTCAAAGCTACCTATATTTTGCACTGGCTTGATGTGATTAAGAAAAAATGCTAGAAATTACTTGTATGGCAGTAAACTACAATCAAGGCCATAAATGCCAGTCATGATATTTTCAATATTGTTGGTTATATTTAAAGTTTCCTTACAATAAACAACACTTTTATATATAAAAAATTATGTTTATTGATATTGTTGTCTTTTAATTCCATTATCATGAATTTACAAGTGACCTATTTATATTCATTTATTAAAAAAATTCATAATTCTTAACACTCTCATGTTGATTTTCATAATTGATGTTATGAGGATGCTTTGTCTACTCAGAACAGACGACGTGTTGGTGTGGTAATTGTCATAGCTACTTTGTATTTGATGATTTGTAGTTTATAGCTGAGAAAAAGCTGTGGAGTGACCAGTTTGCATTTTCTGAGTCCCAAAGTACAGCTTCATGTTGCAGCAATTTTAGTGTTTTGCTCTCGGGCACTGGATGATCCTTCACATGTCACACACAGGGCAACCAGGGGATCAAGCCCAGCCAACATGGTTTTCTGAAAGGAAGGTCCTGCTTATCCAACCTGATCTCCTTCTATGACAAAGTGACCTGCTTAGTGGATGAAGGGGAAGGCTGTGCATGTGGTCTGTCTGGACTTCAGCAAGGCATTTGACCCTGTCTTCCACAGCATACTTACAGAAAAACTGGCTGCTCATGGCTTGGCTGACTCTTCAATGGGTAAAACACTGACTGGATGGCCCAGAGAGTTGTGGTGAATGGAGCTAAATCCAATTGGCAGCCAGACCAGACAGGTGTTCCCCAGGGCTCAGTACTGCGGAACATCTTTATTGATGATCTGGACATGGGGATTGAGTGCACTGGTGATCTGGACATGAAGGTTGAGTGTACCCTCACTAAATTTGCAGGTGACACTAAGCTGGGTGGGAGTGTGGATCTGCCTGAGGGTAGGAAAGCTCTACAGAGAGACCTGGACTGACTTGATCAATGGGCTGAGGACAACTGCATGAGGTTCAGTGCGACTCAGAGCTGGTCCTGCACTTGGGACACAGCAATCCCATGCAGCTCCAGGCTGGGGGAGGAGGGGGACAGAGTTGCTCATCACAAAGAGACTTGGCAGTGCTGGTGACAGTGGCTCAGTGTGAGCCAACAGTGTGCACAGGTGGCCAAGAAGGCCAAAGGCATCTTGGCCTGG